ATTGTGTGGCTTTTCCCTGATTTAGCAATTAACAATGAAATTTGGTAACTAGCCTCTTGAATACGACTATTTGTTACATTTCTAGACGTGAAGATTGAAGTAATTGTCGTCCTTTTCTCGAACTTTTCCTTTAATGTTTTGAAGAAACTTAAATCTGAATTAATATAGTCCTTGTGTTTGGCCTTCAAATGTGCTTCAAGCCGACCCAATTTCATAGATTCGTTTGTCAAACATTGCTGGCATATCAAGCAAAACGGCATCCTCTCATTGTGAACTGCTGGTATAAATCCATATTTTAGATATTCCTCTGAATATTGACGAACTTTCTTTTTTGTTGTTCCACTCATTTTTTATGGGCTAAAAAAATAATAAAATTTTGTAAAAATAATTCAATGTGACAGAGTAAACGTAAATTTAGAAAAAATTGTTTTTGTGTAGATATAACACATTTTGCCGCAAGTGATACTTGGGATAAACGCAAGCCCTGAAGATTCCAGCAGACCAGATTGCAAGATTTTAATACTTCTGGACTCCTTTATCAAAGACACTGCTATTAGAGATATCTAAACTAACTGTGAACCACCGGAAAGGGGGGGGTAGGTCTCCCGATCCGGCAACAGGTTGTTAAACCCTTTCACGGTCAGGATGGGTGAAAGGAGTCTTTTTCCCGCAGTAACGGCCTTTAATGTTTTGGGTCGAGTGGCGGAGGGAGGAGTGCGTCGGTGAGACGACAGGCGATATACGAGTAAACGAGGAGGCCAGATGTAACATAAGAAAAATTAACAATTTATTAAAGCAAGTTTCGGGTAGTACATCATCTAGTTCGCGTCCCTAAAACGTGGAGAGACCGAGAGAGAGCTTACAATAATTGGTTCCATACCTCTTGATCTGTTATCCACTGAGGAAAATTATCCACTCTTTGAATTAGGAAAATTCACTGGTCAAAAATTCACTGGTTAGGAAAGTTCACTGATTAGGAGAGTTCACTGGTTAAATATTTGAATCGATGATTAGGAAAGTTCACTGGTTAAAAAGGACACTATTTTTAAAGTTATCGGCTGGAACGACCCCCGAGAAGGGGAAGGAAGGGGTTTTTATAAGATCGGCGTGGGAGAATGGTCACGTGATTGATTGTTGTGAGGTAAAAGGTACGCCGATGGGTCAGAGTTGTTCCCGGGACCATGCTAACTATCAACTTTGGAGTTGGAATGCGGGATTAGTTTCAAATTGAACGGATGTTTATGTCGAACATAAACGGAAAGTTTTTTTTCCGTTAGGTTTCACTTTAAGTTAAAGGAAAATTTAATTAGATTTTAGGCAAATACGGGACAATTAATCGGCAAAATAATCGGTAAAAATTCCGAATCTCACAAACAAAAAAAGCACAATTAATTAGTTTTTAAATATTATCAATAGTTTTACAGTTTAAAAACTTATATAAAAGCTAAATGGTTAAAAAATAAACATAAATTATTCAATACGTAAAAATTATATTTCTACAACATGTATTAATTCATTTAATCATATAATTGACAGACAATTATGACATATAGGTGTTAAAAATATTAGAGTTAAATTTTTAAAAAAAAATTGTGCAAAAACGTTGTTACTTAGCGACTTTAAAAGATACAAGATTTCTGCGACAAGAGATACAGCAAAGGGAAACGCTGAAAAGTTCACTTGCGGACTCTAATAACATAGTTTAGGTTTTGATACCATCTTAAAAATGCTTATTAATAATTTAAGTCCTCTATTTAGAAAATTTTCTTTTTCATATTATTTGTCACCTAAAGCGTTGCATTAAAAAAGCTCATAGCGAAGGGAAGAAATTATGTCATGTCAATTCTCAAATAGCCCCCCTCCAACCATCAAATTGCCCCCCTGTGGGGCGTACGCCCCACTTTGGGAAACACTGGTCTAGGAGGAACATGGATAAAAGTACAGTCAAACCCCCCTATAACGCGGTAGATACGTTCCACTTTATAAGAATTTCACGTTGTAGGAATCCTTAAATACATGAGCCAATCAGCCCAGCATGGACTACGGCTGTTTGAAAAGTTTTCTTCAATAAAATTAATCAATTCTAGACTAATTTGACTCAACATTTCCAAAACACATGTAATTTTTTGGGAATAATTCGTATAAACTATGCAATAAACAAAAAATAATAGGATTACTTACTGAGTGTGCACCGTTTGATGATGCCATTGCTTAAACTTGTTTTTGTTACAGAGCAGCGCACCAAATGGTGTGCGCGTTTTCTGATAAGTTATTTTTCTGTGAAAAATTCGTTGAACTTTGGAGACATCATTAATACAAATAATTTTTATGGCTGTTGAATAAGAAATGTTTTTTTCACAAAAAATGTATAAAATTACAGTACTGTATTAGACTTACAGTACCTAATTTATATACTGTACAGATGATAGTAAACTCAAATTACCCTCCCAAACTCTCTGTAGCGTGTAAGTAGTTTGGCTGCTTGTCCACTATTGTCCAGATTCAACCAATCCTGTCACGACACAAGTCGGTGATGACATTTTACTGCATTTTACGAGTCTCTTTTAGCAATTTTTTCGCCATGATAGAGATTTCGCCATAATGTAATTCAAACATTTTTTCGCCATGATGAATTCACATTATAGGGGGGCCAACTGTATTATGCAGAGAAAGTAACTCATTAAAATACTAATAAAATAAAAGCTAATCAAAATAACCAATATGTATAAGGAATTATGGGAATCCAAATCTTATTTGGGCTCCCAAAATTCCTTGTACATATTGGTTTTTTTGATTAGGCGTTATTTTACTAGTATTTTAATGAGTTACTTTCTCTACATAATACTTTTAGTATTATGTAGAGAAAAATGAAGACTAACTTTTAGTATTGTGTATTGATGGTGGTGCTTGAGTTAGTATACAATAGATAACCTAGATTATTAAGCAAAAGGACAAACCTTACAAAGTGCTTTGAAAATTTGTTGAGAAGAAAAGGAGCTACTGTTGACCATACAGGTAGACAATAGTCAACCAAGGATAAAAATTAGTGAAGAAGAGAGATCTCAATACTGGCATAATGAAATTAAGTTACTGTAATGCCACAAAATTACTCTTCTGAAAGCTAAATTTTAATATACACACCACTCCACACCAGGATATATGTACAAAAGACACAGAATTAACTTCTGGTGCATATAATACAAAAAATGAACACTGCACAAATGTTTGATATTGATAAAGTAATAAAATTTAGCAACAGATAAAGAACCAACTTCCAATGTGTATAATACAGAAAATGAAGAATACACAAACATTTTCCAACTCCTTCTGAGTTATTCAGGTGTGATTGAACTGTTATCTGATGTAACATTATCGGAACTAATGCCTATTTGTAAAAATTTTAAAAATAATGTAATTCAAACGATTGTTCAAAAATTTCACATTAAATTTATATTTTCGAATGGTTGTTCAAATTACATTGTTTTAAAATTTTTATAAATAGACATTAGTTTCGATAACATTCCATCAAGTAACCATTCAGTTTCACCTGAAGAAGAACTTGGAAGGAGATGGAAAATGTTTGTGTAGTCTTCATTTTCTATATTATACACTGGAAATTGGTTCTTTGTCTGTTGCTAAATTTTATTACTTTATCAATATGATGATTATAAAAGTAAACCAAATAATCGTTGTAATTAATCTGGCTATTTTTTGCTACTATTAATAAATAAAACATTAAGTAATTTGGTATTAGAGGTAGATGTTTAGGTACTATCTCTTATTGAAATTGAAATTTAATTATAATAATTTTAATATTTATTAAATAATTTAGAACAGTCTGGAAGAAAAGAATCAGCCCAGAACCTCCTCTTACTGTGCGGTGTGCTGCCAGTTACATTACCCAGATCTTTGAGCAATTCTTCACTTCCAGACATTTAAATCTTGATATAACCATTCACAATTACTCATGGCAACAAATGGAGACAAACCTACTCCCATGCTATGTATACTCCTCCACTATGACACTTTGGCACTTCAGCCAGCTATTGCTTTACGAGAGTGGTGTATACATATATATAAACATATTCTGGGTAGTGTAACTGGCATCACACCACATGGTAAGAGGAGGCTGTGGGTTTGAATCCTGTTCAGGGCTAATTCCTTTTTCCTTTCTTCCAGACTGTTATAAATTATTTAATAAATATTAAAATTACAGTGGTACCTCAGATTACGAATGCCCCAGCATACGAAATTTTCAGGATACGACATGAAATTCGAACATATTTTTGCTCCACGATACGAACAAAAACTCACCATACGACGTTACATTAGTTTGCATTTTTCATTTGTTTTTCTTACTATAGTTATTTTTTAAATGTATTACTTGGCTTTAATTTGAGTATGTTTTTCGCATTGGAACGAATTATTTGGTTTTACATGTAATCGTATGGGAAAAGATGATCCACCTTACGACATTTTCATGATACGATCTCAGTTTCGGAACGGATTAATTTCGTATCCTGAGGTACCACTGTATTATAATTATTAATTTCAATAAGAGGTAGTACTCAAACATTGATCTCTAATATCAAATTACTGAATATCTAATCATTAATAGCAGAAAACATAGCCTGATTAATTACAGTGATCATTTACTTTAGTATTGATGCATTGGGCTTTGGGATATATATATGCAAAGTTACTGCATGAATGAATATAATTAATTTTCTACCTGTTAATGTAAAAAAGTATAAAAATATGGACTTTTTAATAATGAATTTGTCTAAAGTCACTTTCCAGAACATCTTTATTTGTAAAAATAGTAATTTCTATTCGATGTAATTAACTAACTATTTAAAAATAGTTTTCTCTTGGAAAGTGAATAATAATAGCTTTGTATGAATATCATATTACTGTATTTTTAATATCTTGTGTCTTTTATGTTGAAAAGCTTTTAAGTTATAAGTAATAACTGACTTTAAAATTTGTTAAAATTTCAGCCATGGCCGATGGTTTCACCCAAATATCAGTGGTGTGGAAGCTGAGAGATTATTAATGGAAAGAGGATTTGACGGAAGTTTTCTCGCAAGACCAAGTAAATCAAATCCTGGAGATTTTACTCTTTCTGTTAGGTAAGGATTTGTATTTTACAAGTAATCTATTTGCATTTAAAATGGTTTACTGTTTATCCGAAATGGAAAAATGGTACATTTATCAGATACCATGTTTTCAAACTATCAATCTTTAGAAATAAAAAAAAAGTGTGTTGTAAATTGATCCAACTCAATTAGAATTTATCCAGAATTTTGATGAATTCAAATAACAAATTTTCTAGTTTCTATATTTGTTCAGAAACATGCAATTCTTTCTGTTTGTTACAAAGTTAATTTTGAATTTTTGATAATTTTTATAATTACTTAATTTTTGTAATGGATTTCAAACGTTTTGTAGTTTATTGTATGAATTTTGTGATTCTGTACAATATTTTTGTAATTTAGTAATAAAAATTCAAAATTAATTTTGTAAAAAAGTTTGTAGTATTGGATTTTTCCAAAAGATAGCATATTGTTATATGTTTTCAATAATATTGTCTTTTAATTTGACCAAATTAGCAACTATTAAAACTGTTTAGCCTGTCTGGTTTAGTTAATTTCCAAAAGTTTGATTTGAATTTATGCATTTAACAATGTTGTTTTTTTGTGTGTTTAGTAATTTGCATGTAATTTAATAAATTAAATTTTTTCTTAGAATTTATGAAATCATTATAAAAAAATTCAGAATTAATTTCATATTAGTATTTTTACTTTTAGGAGGAACGGAGAAGTCACACACATAAAAATTCAGAATACAGGGGATTTTTATGATTTATATGGAGGTGAAAAATTTGCAACATTAGCTGAATTGGTGCAGCATTATATGGAGAAACAAGCACAATTAAGAGAGAAAAATGGGGAAATTATTGAATTAAAATATCCATTGATGTGTGCTGATCCAACTACAGAAAGGTATATACTATTGAAATTTGCTAATTAATTTATAGTCTTTTATAATTATAGAAATAAAATTTATTTCTTTTATAATAGAAATTTCATAATTGAATTTCTATTATATACTTACGAGGGTTGTTAGATATCTTATGACATTTTGTGAAGTACAGTGATAGAAACATGTGACCGCTATCTAGTCTGTATGTACACAATCTCTGATCATTGTGTTTTATAGTTGCATAGCAGTCAAGTTTAAACTTATCTTCCTCATTCTGTACAAAGCAAAAATCAATGATTGAATGTTTAGCATTAGAAGGTTGCATTCCTGTCTGAATTCATAAATATTTGCAAACCATTTATGATGATGGATGTATAGATGTAAAGAACATTTAGACATGGACCATAAATCCAAAAGGTGCAATAGAGATGAAATGTATGTTCAGTGCACATAGACCAAGATGACCAATTTTAGTAATTTATGAGGAAAAGCTTGTTGATGATCTGATTTGACAAAATTGCCAAATTAAGCAAAGGAAAATTGTTATCCAACTACTCATTAGTTAAGAGGGAAACACATTAGCCAGTCTTTGAATCACAGAAAAATTTGCAGTAGATGGATACTGAGATAGTTGACAGATGACATGAAAGAACATAGAAAGAGAGTAGTTTACATGAAGAATCTGGCAGAGAGCAAAACATTCAGTTCAGTGAAATATTATGAAACCTTACAAGCACTTAAGAAATTTATTCACAGAGTAAGTCAGAAGGAATTCTTTTTACCATTTTTGGAGTCCTCATATTTGCCCTTATGGTTTTAGGGGAATACATCGGTGCTATAGCAGTCAACGTAGAAAGATCTAATTTAGGTTGCAAATCTGGACTTTTTGTGCTCTTTATGGCTGCAATAATAGGAGGTATCAGTTGTGAATAATTTTGGTTAGGAATAGGTATAAACTTTGGCCCTTTTCTTGAATCAAATAACTTAAAATTGTTAGTAGCTGACAAAGACAAATGTTTTGTTCTATGCAGAAACAAAGATTTCCTCAACAGAGCTAACGAGTTCCTCGAACATTCCAGATCAATAGTACTAAAACAAGATCCTACTTCCACTGTGTTAAGAAAAGTGCACAAAGTTATTGCATTACCAGGAATTGTAGAATCTTTAGCTGGTCCTCTCAATCCTCCATCGAACGTCACATGCCCCAGATTATTTTTTGAGGCCAAAACCCATAAACCGTCATGGCCACTAAGACCATTGGTCAACAAACGTTCCCATCCCACATATCATCTTGAAGCTGTGCTAGTAAAACATATCACATCCTTAATCCCACATTCTGAGCTTGTAACTACAGCCTTCACCGAAGCCATCTTACAAAAATTACGAAACCTCCCCTCTAGTTCCTACCGATTTTACAAAATAGATGTTATTTCTTTATATCCTTCTGTTCCATATTTCGAGGCCATCATGCTGGCAAATACCTTATTCCTCAATTCTAGTTACCCAGCATCTCACGTTTTACACCTACGTGAACTTCTTCGCCTTATTACTCAAAATAATTATTTCCAATTTAATGGAAAAATATATAAACAAACACAAGGAGTACCTATGGGGTCCCCATTATCTTCTATTCTAGCTGAACTGGTCATGAGAAATATAGAACATCGGGTTTTCAATGCCCCTTTAACAATCCAATATCCTCTCATGTATCTATGGTACGTCAATGTTGTGTTAATTGCATGGGATAGTTCCAAGGAGGACTTGCTTCAATTTACTCAAGTATTAGCCTCTATTTATCCTACAATTAATTTTACTGTTGAAGAACAAGAAAACAATAGAATATCTTTCCTGGACTTAGATATACATACATCTCCGGAGCTTATATTTTCTGTCCATCATCAAAATAATAATGCTCCACAAATCATTCCGGCCGCCGCCTACCAACCACCACATTACAAAAACTCTGCTATATCTTTGCTAATATGTAGGGCTTACCTTCTCCCTTCTACTCGGGTGCTAGTAGAAAATGAATTATCCATTGTTCAATCTACCATGTTAAAAGCAGGTTACTCACATTCAAAATTCATTTTTCTAAAAAGTCGTGTAAAAAACAGATTATTTCCACAATCTTTTCTTTCCAATAAAGAAAACTTAAAAATAGCGCACCCTCCAATACCCTACTTAGGCCCTATCTCCTTAAAAATTGCACATCTTTTTAGAAGTAATGGTTATATTCTACCAATTACACCGCATCCAAATCTAAGAAGACTGCTATGTAATGATAGGGATAAGTACCAGTTGAATGAAAAATCCGGTATCTACCAAATCCTGCTAAAGCACACACTAACTGGAGAAGAGATTAGTTATGTAAGAGCTACTGCTAGAAAATAAGTTCACGCATCCATGAACATCAAGAAGACATCAAAAGTAACAGGCCAGTTACAGAATTAGCAAAGAAAGTACTCGACCACAACTACCAGCCTCTATGGAACGAAATAAAATTACTAAAATGCTGCAATGAACAAAAAGAGCTATTTATTTAGGAGACACTCTACATTTCTACTATCATACCATGCAACTCCCCAACTTTTGAGCTCCCACAAATTTGGATAACAGCTTTCAAACAACTCAACCCAAAAAAAAAATAATCCTTTGTTGCTCATATGCTTATTTTGCCTTGGTGCACATAAATGCATGAACTATGCTCTTTTACAGACATTTCTCACTTTAATATTTATTTATCATCATTTCTATGCGCTATGACGTAAGAACCTTTAAATAATATTTGAAAACCATAATCAGCTGAACCGTCAGAAGTATCGTTCGAAATATTTGATATTGAAATTTAAAAAACTGTCGGAATCTCATTCGGAAAGCTTAAACTATCGAATTCTATGTACCACCTGAAGATGGTAGTTTTACACTATTGAAAGTGCTAGTGGATAAAACCTTTCTCCAAAAGTCAGATAAATTTCCATAACCAGAACTCCACTCCTGTAATGCCACTGCATGTAAGTGTTCTAATAATAGTATATGTCGGCGTAAAGTGCAAACTTATTAAATAATTCATAATATATGTTGATCATTCATTTTATAAAAAAAAAAGTTATGCATCATCATTTATAGAGTATGAGATGCAAAAACGAAATGACGATACTGATGACTTGAAGAATTATGGTGCACTGTACATAAGCAAACAATGGACGAAACAATCAGAAAATAAGGCGCCATTTAGATTGAAATGCCATAACTGTGGCAAAATAGGCCATAAGGCAAGAGAATGCTGGAACAGAAACAAGCAAAAACCCCATAGAGCTATGACTACAAGCCTAACAACAAGAAAACAGGAGTTATATAATGCTAATATTATGGCAAATGAAGGGAAAGAAAATCTTAAATGGTGTCTAGACTCAGGTGCTTCATCACACATGTGCAATGATAAAAGAAGATTTTCTAACATTGAAACATCCCACATAAGTGAATTAAACTTGGCCAACTGATCACCACTTCCTTTGATTTCCATTGTAGATGTAATAATTGAAACAAAGGGAGGATTTCAAGCCAAATTAGAGAACACACTCCTTGTATCAGAACTAATTACCAACCTACTGTCACTTGGGATGATAACTGATTGTGGATTCAGTGTATTATTCCAAAAGAATCAAGCAACTATTATGGATCTGAAAACCAAAAGCATATACATGCGAGCATTTAAAGAAGGAGGGCCTATACTATATGAAAGAAAGGCAGGAAGAATCTAAACTCTCTCGAACAAATGTTAATGAAATGAAAATGTGGCACAAACGTTTAGGTCACTTAAATGAAAGGGACATATGCCACATGACCAACAACCTAAAGGTTAAAAGACTTAATATAGGATGAAAAGAACTTGACCCCTGTGAGATCTGCATAAGAGGGAAACAAACCAGGTTACCATTTTCTAAGCAAAACGAAAAGAGGTGCAGAGAAATATTAGAACTGATTCATACCAACATTTGTGGGTCAGTGAGAACCAAATCATTGAGTGGATTGAAATATTTTATCAAGTTTATTGATCATTCTAAATGGTGTGAAATATATTTCATGAAAAACAAAAATGAAACCCTCAAGAAATTCAAAACATACTTAGCCTTTGTAGAAAATAAAACAGGAAGAAAGATAAAGGCAACAAGAAGTGACAATGGAACCAAGTATACTAATAGAAAATTTCAGAACTTCCTGAAACATAAAGGGATTAGGCATGAGAGAACAGCTTGCTACACACCACAACAGACCAGCATTGCAGAGAGAAGAAATAGAAGTAGTGGAAATGGGGAGATGCATGCTATTCCAGGCAGGATTGAGAGAGTGCTTTTGATCAGAGGCTGTATACACCATATTATATATTAGAAATAGATGTCCATCAAAGAGCCTGGAAGGCAACATACCCTTTAAATTATGGACGGATTGGTAGAATACCAACAATCAAATATTTTAGGACATTCAGTCAAATGGCATTTGCACTAGGAAAGAAACCAGGTAAAGGAAAACTTTATGAGAAATTCACATATTTATAGACTACTCTTGTGAAACAAAAGCATATCATCTGTGGAATACAAAGACAAAAAGAGTTATAACAAGCAGAGATGTCAAATTTATCAACGAATTCCCAAACAACTCAAGGGACAATATCAAAATGACTGAAGATGACAGATCCCATGGAAGAGAAAGACTTGATAATAAAGAAGTGGAATTGGATATCCTTGAACCTACTAAGGAAAAGTTACAATCTGAAGAAAATACTTCATCCGAAAATGAAATGAATGAAAGTGAAAACGAGCAGAATAATGAATTGATAAGAGCAAGTGGAAGGCCATGAATTGCTCGAACAGGACAGGGAGACCCAGAAAAGAGTATAGAATGAAAACCATAGAAGAATTTGCCACAATTGGTGAAAAGATAGTCAAAGACAATGAAGAACCTTTTAACATATAAAGAAGCCATGGAATCGAATGACTCAGTCAGATGGTGGGCTGCCATGGAAGAAGAAATGGAATCTCTAAGAAAACATAAGGCATGGAACTTAATGGAACTGCCAGAAGGGCAACAACTATCAAATCAAGTGGGTCTACAAAGTTAAGGAAAACATCACTGACAGAACAATATGAATAGAATATATGGATACTAAATAGAATATATGGATACCCTTCTTACAGCGCGTAACTTATTGACCGCACTTTTTTCACGCGGCGTCTCACAGAATCCATTTTTTTTTCTAAAATTGTAAAATTATTGGCTTCGCTTCAAAAATTATAATTACATCTTTGTTTTCACAATTTTCTCTACTTTCGAACAGTGTAAAATATTTTTATATTGGCACAAATGCTTTATTTGCATCGAATTTAATGTAATTTGATACGAAAAACGCAAAAAATAAACATATCAAATTTCAACTCGCTGTAATTTATCTCCTGTTTCACAAATTGCCAACAGGTTTGTTTGTAAATGGGGAAGAAATATTACACTTTCAAGTGAAGTGAGTAGAATTTTCTCACTACTGCGAGAAAATTTGTCATCAGACCCTGCGTTACCCCCTACCGCGAAAGTCAATAAACGTTAATTGTTTTATGACTCTATTTTCAACACTTCTCTTCTGAGTTGTAAATCGACTAATTGACAAAGTTTTTACTTTATTTTACTCATAAAAATGTTTTTTTCAATATTTAACAGATAGTTTTCTTAGATCTTTACATATTAATTTTATTTTCAATTTTTAATGTGATATAGTCGTGTGTTAGGCTTAAATCGATCACCTAATATAAAAATGGACATCGCTCAAAATATTACAGAATCCATCAAAATTTCTTGCTGATAGTTTAGATATAAATGTTTTCTGTGCATGAAATGAAGCAACCAAAAAAATACAGGGTGGACCATCAAAAATTCGGCAATTTACGACATGATGTCGAAGGCGTAAATTTTTTTATTTATAACTAAAAATATTCTCGAAATTTAATCAAAAAAATGCATTTGCATCAATACCTAAATGAAATAGTTATGCAAGAAACAAAAATTGTACAATTAGCGCAATTTGTTTTAGCGTAATTAATTTTTAAAATTTTTGTCGCTGTTATTTATCGCGTGGACAAACGCGATTTCTCGCAGAGTATAAGACTTCGCTGAGTGTAATAATAAATTCTGATATCTCGCTTTAAAATCGGGCTAGAATCGCCCATTTTCATTATTTTTGCCGCAAATGTCTCACAGTTTACGATTATTAAATGTAATAAAAATTTTAAATTTTTTAGGAAAAGAGTAAAAATTTAAAAATCTGTAAACGTTCTGTTTAATTTGAAACATTTGTTAGCTAGACACATCTGTTTTCTTTTAAACAAAACAAACTTCAGCTCTCTATCTAGAGCGGGGGAGAAGTTATTGCCATAATTCACACTACTTCTCAAATTACTTAGCAGGGAGAGGAGTCAATTGTCATCGTCAAGCAATGCCGCAAAGTTTATCAATATACTGTATATTTCTGCTTCAAATAGTAAATATTTGACACTTTTTATATATTTTTTCTACACTTTATGCAATAATACACTATAATAAGTTATCAGATAATTTTTTTTTTTGGGATTACCCAACATCCGGAAGTAATAAGTTTCCCGGTTAATTTTTTAGCTGGAAGCTTGTGTTAAAAAGTCTTCTTATCTAAGTAAAGTCAAATAACATGCAAACTAGTAAAAATACGCTCTAAAATATAGAATATAGCAATTTTTTAACGTTTGTTTACATTCTGACTTTGATCACGTGGATTGGTTCTTCGCGGGAAAATCCAGACAAGATGGCTCTGAAAACACTCTCATTCGTTAAAAGTTGATTCTGTCATAATATAAATTACCAATTAGAGCGTAATAAGCGTAGAAATAAAGATTTTAATGCCAATTAACAGCAAGAACATCTTCCATACACTTACTATAGGGAGGTGGAGTTTCCCGGGAATATTTATTGCTAGATAGTTTTAAAAATATATTTACATGCCTGAATATTGTCGAATTGCCTAATTTAATGTCAAAAACGTTAAATTAGTTGTTTAGAGCTAAAAAACGATTTAAAAAGCGAATTTATTGTGATTGTTTACATTTTACTTCGAAGGTTGGAGGCGGGACTTTTCGCGGCAATTTTTCCTTTCACAAGTCTGTGATTAGTTACAGTAATGTCAACAAAGACAGAAGATACCCAATAAAACTTTAGAAGGAGTTTCCCTTTGATTGTTTTCAACCAACTGTTTGATTTACTGTAAATGGCAGAGGAGTCTAATTACCGAAATATTTATGGCCCAGGGGTGGTGACCAAACACGTATTGGCTTAAACAAAGTCAATCGACCTACAAAAGAGCGAATCGAAGCTGCGATCGCTGAAAAACTAGAATATAATACAGATGCGCACAATGGTCGCGATCAACAATAGAGATTCTCGCAATCGCGTTTTTCTGGGGAATTTTTTCTGCAGAAGGGTCGCAGGGCTTCTGTGAGACGCCGGCATTTTTTTGTAATTTTTTTTCCCGAGAAAAGTTGGCGCGCAATAAGAAAATTATTTATTGCATTTTTTGCAGCTGAAAAAAATTGGAGAACTTGAATTTTTTGAAAAATTTCGAAAAAAATGCCGCTGAAAAAACTGACGCAGGGCATCTGACAGACGTCTGGGGATCTTCGAAGGGCTAAGAGCAACACTTCTGACATCCTCACAAAACCACTTGGGACCGAATCTTTCCTGCTTCACTGTGGACACCAGTGAAGAAATCACTAAGTAAAGATAGTCTCTTCAAGAGGGGGGATTGTTAGGGAATACTAAACTAAAGCAAATGTCGATATCGCAAACTGTGTATGAACTGGCAACACTCATGCAAGACCATTTGAAACAAGAAGAGACCTGTTTTCAGTTGTGCACCAAGTTATGGATGGGTGAACAAGTGCATGTATAGTTTCAGATTAGAATAAAGTTTAATTCTAAGTTAAAGAACTGCCTCATCATTATTCTAACAATCACTTTTAAGGTAATAAAAATATCTATAATTTTTAATATCTGTGACTCGTTTTTAATTGATTAATCCAAATACAAGAGTTCAAGTTATGAGAGATTTTCAGGAATGAGTTAAACTTATAAGTTAGAGTTAGACTGTATTCTTGGCAAAGTTTCAGTTGTTAGGTCAACATGTTTCAAGAACATTTTTTGCATTGGTATAAAATTAATCTTTTAGTTGAAATTATTGTGAGAAAGCAAGAATATAAAATATTTCAAAACCAGTTTATGTATATCTATTTTAATTAAATTTCACTATATAGATGGCATCTTAATTAATGGAAAGATGACAAAATAGATTTTTAAGTTTAACAAATAGAATAAGACAAATCTATTTCTCTAAATTATTTTCTCAAAAAGAAGTTTCTAAATATTATTAGTTTTTAGATATATTAATAATGGAAAACAAAACATAGGTTATAAAATATACATAAACTATAGATAGATTTTTGTGTATATTAAAATAATTATATAGTTTATCTGTTGGTTATATTTCATGTTTTTTTAAATATTGTACAATTTACTTAAATATTGTTATAATTTAATTGTACATTGATGAAAATCATATCAATATGTACGTTTTGTTAATTAAATTTATTTCAGATAGCATTAACATAAATAAATTATCTAGCATTTAACGACAAGTTTAAAGCAACAATTCATAAGTATAAATTATTTTATGAATTTTATCAAATAACTTTTTCATTTATATTTATAAATGACCAATTACTTATAAATCATTGAATATTTTATTTAGGTGGTTTCATGGGCATTTATCTGGAAAAGATGCTGAAAGATTAGTATTAGAAAAAGGGAAAAATGGTAGTTTTTTAGTGAGAGAAAGTCTTAGTAAACCTGGAGACTTTGTCCTTTCAGTAAGAACAGATGATAAAGTTACTCATGTAATGATTCGATGTCAAGTAAGGTCTATTATTTTTCATTTTTCTATGTTTTTAATAGAAATGAACTTCTAAAATACTTCAGAAATTTAGAATAAATTTAATTTGTTTAATTAGGATGGAAAATATGATGTAGGTGGTGGAGAGAGATTTGATAGTCTTGCAGATTTGGTAGAACATTATAAAAAGAATCCAATGGTGGAAACAACAGGAACTGTTGTACATTTGAAACAACCATTTAATGCAACTCGAGTAACAGCTTCTACTATTGATAAAAGAGTAAGAGAATTATCTAAAGATAATGAACATAGTAGTGGAAAAGCTGGATTTTGGGAAGAATTTGAGGTAATATTTTTACAAATTATGTGAATTTAGTTTTTCAATTTGATATTTATAAATGATGTAATTCTATTCAGAAATTTATTGTATTAAATTGAGAAACATCTATCTTCTATTTAATATTTCGAATCTAATGAATAACTTTTGAAACTAACTAGTCTTGAATAGATTGTAATTAAATATGAGTGTGATTATAACCTGAATATTTGAATATAATTCAAAATTTGCATTTTATATGTTAAAATTAAGACTTCTTTATTTCTCAGTATATGAGAAGTTATTTGATGTAAAATTGAGGTACATTTCCAGAATTTATCAATATTTAGAACAAGAAAAGATAAAAGTAGGAAGAAAATTTTTAATCTAAAATACACCATTATTTTAATAAAGCATCATTATTTTAAGTTTAATATTTTTATATAAAGTTTAAAATACACTCATTGCCGTAAAAATTAGCACACTAAGAAGTGTTTTTGCTGCAAAATTTTGCATGCAGATAAGTCTCAAGCAGATATGGAAATGAGTAGAATTATAATTTCATTGCATAATGCTATCAGAAAGTGTTAAATTGTCTCTCTTGGCCTATAAAAAAAAGTGTGCAAAGGCATCCTGGCTGTAGTTTACCTGTTGCAGAGGGATGCTGTATCACTACATGTTACAATTGAAGACCATATGAACAACTAGCCAAGTTTGAGAGAGGAATCCTTCCTCTCTCAAGAGTTTGCTCTCTCCTCTGAGTTTGAGAAAAGAATCCTTCCTCTCTCAAACTCAGTTAACTCCTTTTTGGTGTGCTAATCTTTATAGTAATGAGTGTATTTTGTTAATAACTATAAACAAAAAGCCACTAAATGATATTTTGATAATGATAAATTTATCATTAATATTATGTATTCATTTAATGTTGAGTGAAAAATGAATTAAAAGCAAAAGAAAAAAATTCTAGTAGATTGAGTAAAAGAACTTTTAAAACTTAAAATATTTTAATATTTAAAATTAATATATACTGAAAATGACAATAATATGACTAAAATTATAAAATATTCTAAGAATATGAAAGAATTATTTATTTTGGTATCATAAAATTCTTGTATTGCAATATATCAGACTAAATAAATAAATAAAAAATATTAATAAAATTTACTATCAATGCTACAAAAATATGGAAGAAACTAATTTTGATATAAAATCAGTCCAATTATTTAAATTAGGAGAGCGAAAAATAATGTAAAATTTGTTTTTAACTTATATCATTTGAAAACCATTCTATACAAGGTGATGATAATCATTACTGTTAATTTAAAATGAATAAGTAAAGTGTAACTGTTAAAACAACTACAAAATTCATAAATAACATAACATTCTAACAATTAGTAATGCTATTCAAATAATTCAAAATAAATATATTTTTATTGTACTTTAATTTAATGTTTTATTTTATTTATTTTTTGTTTGTTAGTGTAAGTATTATTGTTTTTGTTTCTTGTAGTTTCAGGGTTTATTTTGGAAATGTTCTTACTTGTCTTGCTGGACATTATATGTAGCAACTGTAATAGATGAATAAATTTAACAAACTGTCTGGTAAAATTTTAGCACAGTCAAATAAAAACAAATAGAAATGAAAACTATAATTTATTTTTATTGTTTATAAAAGCTACTATTTTAAGTACATATTACTGTAAATAAATTTTTATACAGTATTATGTATTTAAATCTAGTGTAGTTGTTAGATAAAATTTTAAATTATCCACTATTTATCTTGTATTAAGAATACAGCTTTAGTAACAACTTATTAATTTTTAAATAGTATCTGCAACAACAAGAGTGTAAGCATTTATACAGTAGAAAAGAAGGACAAAAACCAGAAAATAGAGCAAAAAATCGTTATAAAAATATACTTCCATGTAAGTAAAATCAGTTTAAAAATTTTTTAATTTTAAACTTCATATATATAAAAGTAGTATAATATATTAAATTAATAATTTGTTATTTGAAGTCAAGCTGTTTAAAAATCTAATTTGTAAACACTTCCATCTCCTTTAATCAGAAAATTTTGATTTTGAACAAATTGTATTATATTGTATTTAATTTATAAAAATACATTTTTTGTTTTTCTTGGATTAAGTGAATGTTGTCCTTATATTTTTATTCTGAAGAATTATTTTGCTAATTGATTTGAATACTCCATATTATAGATTATTTGTGATTTATTCTACATAGATTATATAAAAAAGTTTTGAGATATATACGATATAAAAATGAATTGCACAGTGGCCTGCATTTCTGTATTATAAAAAATTTTAAGAAAGAATTCAAAATCTACTCCAATAACATCTTTTCATTCTTAAAAAAATAAACTTACAAAAATATCATATCTAATTAGTAATAATAGATACAGTGGCTTAGTAATAAATAATGTTGGCATAATTAGTCAACTTGTACTATGAAGATACTCTGCTTTTAGTTTAAAATAACATTAAGCAAACCTTGTGTTTTTAATGTTTTATAAAATTGATCAATCAGACTGCAATATTCATGCAAACCTTTATTTTTTAGTTTTCTTCTTTTAATTAATAAAACCAGAATTGCTAAATTTAATAAAAATGGTTAAGTGCACATTTTCTTGTCAATAAATTACCTAGGAGTAGTATTTTTGCATTTGTTTACTTTTTCTGAATCACAGTTGTTCTTGCTAGTTCAATGCCATTTGCTAGAGAGTAATGCATGTACTGTACACTGGATTTTCTGGGACAGACCAATATGTCTTTCTGGTTTACTCATTGTTATACAATGATTAGGCTTTATCTATATTGCTATTTGCCCTGTTGTGTATCCTGGCTATTAGCAATGTTTTCTAGTAGTAACAATGTTTTGTATACAGTGGTACCTCAGGATACGAAATTAATCCGTTCCGAAACTGAGATCGTATCATGAAAATGTCGTAAGGTGGATCATCTTTTCCCATACAATTACATGTAAAACCAAATAATTCATTCCAATGCGAAAAACATACTCAAATTAAAGCCAAGTAATACATTTAAAAAAATAACTGTAGTAAGAAAAACAAATGAAAAATGCGAACTAATGTAACGTCGTATGGTGAGTTTTTGTTCGTATCGTGGAGCAAAAATATGTTCGAATTTCATGTCGTATCCTGAAAATTTCGTATGCTGGGGCGTTCGCAACCTGAGGTACCACTGTATTCTTGAAAAAAATTTTAATATTTTTGTACACAGATGGTATAGTTGTAGCTTGAGGCATGTACTTAGTGCAGTTTGTATGAGACTGTGTCTAATCCTGGAGTATAGTTCACTTTCATGCAATTTCAAAATGCAATTTGACTTGTTATCAGTATATATTTTATAATTATGCATTTTTTTTAATTTTTAGTTTATTATTCAATAATAATATGTCTATAAAAGTTAACTATAAGAAGAAATAATTAAATTAACAAAAATAAAATTATAATGAAATTATTTTGAAATTTTATGATTATCATCATAAAACAGCAACCGCACACCGGGTTGTATATCAGAATATGACCTACTCAAACCTATAACTGGTGCGTACAGAGTATAATCTTCCAAAACGAACGCTTTCTTAAGAAAACATTTGTTTTGGAAGATTACACTCTGTACACACCAGTTATAGGTTCAAGTAAGTCATATTTTGATTATCATCATTTTTTTTTATTTGTTGAACATTGACTTTTCATATATTTTTTCTGATGATGACTAAGAATTTTGCTTGTTGTCTCTTAAATCTATCTTAACACAATTATGTTATTGACATCTTTTTTTACATTATTTACATTATTGACAGTAAGATGTATTTTGGGTCTTTTTGACCTCCCTTCAGTTGCATTTTTCTGTATTATTGGTTGTTGGGCTTCAATTTGAAAAAATTATAGACCTAAAAATTCCCATTGTTGTCTGTTCATCCATCTTTCCTTAATCTTAAAAACTGAGTTAGATAGATGAAAGATGAGACCAGATATGGAAACCTTAGGAGTAGAGGCCTCAATTAACTATAAACGAATTTCCAAGGCAAACCAGAAGTCATGTTATTTCAGTTCAAAAATTTTCTGCTGAAAGTTGTTTGATAGATGACTGGCATGACTATTGTTAAAGGAAAAGTATGATACTGTATACAGGGGCAAACCATTACTAATTTGGGGTGAAGAGTTATATTTTTAAGTTAAATAAATTAAAAATAAGATTAAAAATTGCAACCCAGCATTGTGATGATGTCACAATAAATAAATGCTTGTTTTATATTTTATATTTTTATTTCTTCTCCAACATAATAAATCCTTGAAAAAGTTAATTTTTCAAAGGGATTTATTATATTGTTATATTGTTGTAGGCTGCTACTGAATCTAAGAGTTCTTGTCTTTCTTGTATTTAAGCTTCCAGCAGAATTGTTGTGTGCATAAAAATTTTTTATAAATTATAAAATTAATTGTAAAATTGGCATTATCATCATTAATTTTAAGATTTATTAAAAATATAAGTTTAAAAATTTGATGAAATAGTTTCTCAATAATGAAAATACATCAATTCACAATATGTTTTTTTTTGTAGAAATTGTTAGTGTTGGTTACTATAGCTCAGTGTTCCGCAACCTTTTTCTACTCGCGGCACACCCATGACTCAACACGGCACACCAAAATGTTATTCCCCTCAAAAACTTATGATATGATACTATTAATAGAATTACATAATGCAACTAACCTGTTATTATTGTTATTAAACAGATACCAACACCTGTGAGCAAATTTTCTTTACCTATAATTTATTAGAATACATAAAAATGGGTGGCTTGTAATAAAGAATAAACAAACATCATCTTATTTCATCAGTGTTGCGGCACAGAATGAAATACATACAAAAGATAACATATAAGAAATACAACAACAAACATACATACATAAGAACATACATACATAAGAAACACAATAACTGTGATAAAAATATATAAATAAAATTTGAAATTAACAGAATATGTAAAAGTTCACATCACACCTTTCACCATGTGACGGCACATCAGTGTGCCGCATCTCGCTTTATCTTAAAACTTGCCTCGGGCCAGCACTGGTAATAGGACTAATTAGTGACTGATAATGTGTATATTTAAAATAGTAACGATTCAAAAATTAATTTTGTAATTAGAAATGTACGATATATTTTCACATTTCGACGCCGTATTTGAAACAGTTCTTCAGACCAAACACACTTCTCTGCTTGTCTAATTACATAGGCTAATTGATATTTCGTTTTCGAGTTTTACTGCGATTTTTAACGACTATTTTACCACTAAGTATAATATACATTGTCTTAAAACATATAAACAAAGCTATTAGCGTCAGTGAATGTTTGTATATAACAGTTTCCCATTACAAATATGATGCTAGTGTACGAGTATGTTTATAACACATAGCATCTTATTTAGTTATTAAAATAATTTTTGAATCGTTATTATTTTTAATCTGCACGTCATAATCACTTAAGACTGTGTTATTTTATGTTTAAATATAACGTTATTTATATTATGAGACTTAAGGATAATGCCGAATCTTCAGCATTTCGTATCAATTAGGTTGCTTCACAATACAAAAAGGAAAAATATAGCTATTTTTCTGGAACATATTCTATATGTACTCCTACGTCTTTTAGTGACGTCTCTCAAAAAAATAAATAAAAAGAAAAAATGTGTGGTATATAATTATTTATAACAAGAGTTTACTTACATTGTGAATTTCATCAAATAAACGTAAATCTAACTAAATCTGAAGCATAAATTCAAGTAACCCGACATACTGTAAATACTTAACGTCCGAAACCTGAAGAACAGAACAGAAAGTGATGGCCCGTAATGAGTCATTAGCAGCAAGAGAAAATTTTAGCCAATCGTAGGCCGCGAGAATAAACTTTAATGAATAAATAGGTTTTATAGTCCAATCACAATGGTCGAGAAAGTAATTGACTATTTTCACGTTCTGGTGATGTTCTTTCGGAAATAAGCAACCTGAATGCATTGTTGACTAATTACAATTCTAATTTAGAAAACAAGTTCAAGGATTTTCGGATACTGCTTCATTAAATTCGGCATTTTCATCTTATATAGATAATTAGAAATTCCACCGTCAAGAATGACGGAATACTTTTTATGGGAAAGTAGATTGAGGAATTGAGAAGAGTACAGATATGGGGCCGTTCGTAAATTACGTAAGGGCGATTTCGGCCATTCGAGCACACCACCCACCCCTGTGTAAGAAACCGTAATATTTTCTTTGATCCACCCTCCCCTTCCCTATCTTACGTAATATTTAGGCATGATTTTTAAGAAAGATTTTAACCAAAAAAAAGTTTTTATGAAACCCTAATAACCTTAAGTCCAAAATATAGACTGTAATTATTAATTAGCTAATTAATATGTACTATTATTTATAAAAGACTTTATGTGAACAAATTTTAAAATATAAAAATATAAAGAATTTGAATGAACAATTTATTTTAAGAACTTTATTTTTTTAATTATTAACAATCTTTTCATTATTATTATTAATATT